GAGAGAGGGAGGGAGAGAGAGAGAGGGAGAGAGAGAGGGGGAGAGAGAGAGGGAGAGAGGGAGGGAGAGAGAGACATTAAACGGTACATTGTGATTACATTCTAGTAGCAATTACTAGTACACGTAATTGAATGAGCATTTAAAAGGAATCAGGATTGATATTAACTCACTTTGACACCAAACTTAGCACGACCAGACACAGTAGAGAGGAAGTCAGGTGAGTTGAGTGCAGTGTAGACAGCAACTTCAAAAGCTCCACCCCCAGGAACAACAGACCCTGATAAAATGGTAAAAAAATATTTTTAAATTTAAATTCATTTAGTGATTATTACATGTGCATATTGTAGTTTTCTTATTTACTCTGCTAGTATATAGCAATTAACTATAGCTATATGAGTAGTAGTGGTTTATAACTTGCATGGACTGCCTGCTTTGATTGAAATGATTTTCATAGAGAGCAAAAATCAATGCTCATAACTCAAAAATTTAAGTTGGAATCAGCTAAAACTTTCTACATAGTGTATAAGGACGTCAATACATACCAAAAATGTAATAAAAATTGGGAGTGATTTCGGAACAATTTTTTAGAAAATACCATGTGCTATAGCCATAGCCCATGGTATTTTCCAAAATTTTGCTAGTTTTTAAAAAAGTCTGTAACTCCGAAAATTAAAGTAGAAATCAGCCCAAACTTTCTACATAGCATAAGGACATCAATATATATGTACATGTATCAGAAAAGGTAGTTGGCCTTTTTGTATGGTAAAAAATACTAATAACTAACAATTCAACAAAATCAATTTGTGACTGAAATATTGACTCAAATAGCATAAGGTGGAGTCACTAAACTTCACCCTCTCCTCCCTTACCATCCTCAATAGCATTCTTGACTGCTCTGAGTCCGTCATGGACCGCATCCTTTATCTGTGATAAGGTGTGCTTGTTTGGGCCTTTAATTAGAATAGTAACAGATTGTGGATTGTCAACATCTTCAATAAAGGTATACTTGTCTTCACCCTAAGACACATTAGAAAATAATGCACAATTACACATATAATTAGGAAAAGGTTAAAATGAGTTAGAGTATATCCAAACAAGGCAAATTATAAATCATATTCATCATGCAGCTTGAAATATTAGCCAATAACTAATATTGGTGGATTGGCAATGTAGTGATTGAGCCACCGGCAATATACATGTACATGTACATGTATAATGTAAAATCCGCCACTTTGTTCTATTCTCAATTTCAAAACAGCCACCACACACAAATAAAAAAACTCAAATAATTTAACAACTTTTATGCTTAACACTTTTACAGTGGTGGCTATATTAACGTCCATTAATTTTAACAACTTTTACAACTAAGGTATAGCCAATATTCCACATTAACAATCATATTCGTGACCATTAACTTTAATGAAATTAGCCAAAAGTTTAAAGGTTCAAATTAAAGGATAGTCATTATTAATTGGCTTACAATTCATAAATTTACAAAATAGGCTAATACCATTATACTTTTATCCTCATTAATAATACAATAATAATAATAAATTAAAGTCCATTTGCATTCACCTGAGCCCAGGAAGTGATTAGAAACCCCACCCAATAATTAACACAATGCAATAATATTGTGAGAAGTATGGCTGTACTTTTTGCATGGGTTATACAGCCAACTTGGAGCTAAAGAGCTAAAGCTGCTTCTTAAGTAGTACAATAGATGCGGCAAAAGGAGAGGAATGCACTGGTATGTTTATTTTTACAATAGAACTTGTAAGTCAAAAGTTATTGCAAGAAAACAAGGGCTCAGGTGAACACAAATGGACTTTAGTAATTATCAGTTTACTCACAAGTACGTGCTCATAAACAAGTCCTGCCTTCCCAAGACAATTCGGCGAGAGATTCTCAAACGAGTTCATGGCCTCCCCGCCACAAGCTAGCACTAATCTCTCCATGTTACGTCTCTTGGCACGTCGGAGAGCAATGATGCCTTCCTTTGCTAACTGATCAAGAGATATGGGATCGATACCCTATTGTGTATAAATGTGTGTGTGTGTGTGTGTGGAGGTATA